AGGTCACTCTAAACCAGTGACTTTTCCCTCCCCTGCTTTATTCCTTTCCCTCACTGACACTGGCTTCTCCCCCTAGAGTAAATGGCTTTAGCACAGCACTGTCTTCTGGGGAGCCTGCTGTCCTGCAGGCAAGTCCGTAAAACTCTGTCTTGCTTTAGGACTCTGAAAACAGCAAGAAACAAAGAAAGAAAGGTCAAGATCTAAGAAAATTACTGCACAAACTTCACTACCCTGGAAGCCTTACTAGATATTTCTTAAGGTAACTTAAAAACTGGGCTTTATTTTTAAAAAGTGATAGGTTAGTTAAAGTAGCACAGAAATGTTAGCGTATTTATTTAAATAGTCCTGCAGCAGAGACCCTGCAATTGTAAAGTGAATTAAGTATTTCTGGGTAGTGTTTGTGATTTATGGATTTGTTACCAAAAAAGAAAACAAAAAAAATCACTACTGTGAATTTACTACTATGTAAACTTGTGGTCATATATCATTATAAATAAAATAAGAATTGCTCTTCTGCCCACCGTTCTTGATTGGTATTCAGTGCAGTAGTGAAATGAGATAGTTTAGACACTGTTGAAATAGCTGTATTGAGCTTTAACCAAGTGTATGCTCAGAAAATTCGGTTTGGGATCACATTTTGAGAAAACGTGTTTTGGTCAAAGAAAGGAAGGGCTACTAACACATTTATCAGGTATTGTATATTACAGTCCGTGTTCCACACAGCCTTGTTATCCCCACATTCTTTCAAGATAGGAGTTATCTTGAATTTTCAGGTGAAAAAAGGAAGATCAGAGAGGAAGGGGCTTGTCCAAGGTCTCATGGCTGGTTAACAGAATTTCAAACTAGATGTTTGATTCTAAGCCCTCAGTCCACTGTACCTTGAAGTATGGTCTAAATGATTTGGCACTTCTGGATGTTGAGGAAGGACCTAGAGACACATCCTTGAACTAGAACCTGGCGTGGGAGTTCACTGGGAGGCAGGATCTCTTCTTTCACTTTGGATTTACACCTTGTCCCTTGGAAAGCTTCTCCACTATGCTAGCAAATATCTTAGGATATTTGATGGAAAGAACTTGAGAATCCCCTTTCTTTCTGGAAAACCCAGCCCTGCCAGTGTTGCACCTGCTGCAAGACAGGGATGCTGTTGTTCTGGCAACCCGCCTTTGCTTTTGCCTGGCCCCACCTGCTCCCACTCTGCTGGCTCGGGCAAGATGCGTGCCTTTGGCCTTGGGTGAAGGGAGGTAGGCAGGGTCTTGACCTGGCCTCTCTCTGGTGCCATGGCAACATTATGCCTCAGCCTTCTTCCCTGGTTGAAGTGAGAGGGGCTGTCCACAGCCCCATCCTGGGGGGATCTCAAGCCGGGGTCCCTGGCCTGGCCTCCTTGATATAGGTGTTCTCAGCAAGCAATTTGCGTCCCACTGTTTTTCCCACACTTGCGTCCAAGACTTTGGACAGCGCAGACGTAAAACAGGGCTCAGAAAACCATTTTTCTCTATTCCCATATGTAGTAAGTTTTGATTCAGTTGTGCATAAACCATGGTTTTCTGCCCTACTGTTTGCTTTCAATGGAAGACAGTAAAGGGAAGATGGTGCTCATGTCTCTCCACATGACATCTCATTAGGAATTAAGATGCAATGGATTAGAAATGTAAAACTTCGGAATAAAATTAAATTTTAGGGCTCTTTAAGTCCCGTTTTCCCGGGTCCTGTTCCATTTCTACGTAGATAACCCAATTTGTTTTGTCTATTAAGTAAGTCTCTTTAGTGGGTTGTTTTAGAGTGTCCAACAAAAGAACAGATTCCTAAAGCCAGGTGCAGCACCGTGAAAAGTTTCTTTCAATATGGCACCAAGACTCTACCATTTATGTCTGTCTCAGCTTACAAACATCAGCATTTTGTCCTTGTCATAGTGGAAGAAAGACATTATTTTAAGCTTTGGGGACAAATGTGACAAACCCCAGGTTTTTATCTTAAAAGTGTCTTTGGCACTTCTTTTGGCACTGAAATGGGATTTGGATAACATTATTTGAATGTACAGTTGTTTGGTTTTGTGTGTGCTTATCTTTATCTGAGCTTTCACTTGTGGGCATGGCATTTTGTTGTCAAGTTGCTCATCATTTAGGAGTGTTTAATTCTAAAAAGCCCTCAGCCTAAGAAAGCTTCGTCTGTGGGGACCAGAGACTGTTGCTCAGGGAATTAGTGACGGGACTTGGGCATCTGATCTGCAGGTGACAAGTTTAGTTCAACTCAAGTTGTAGGGAATTTAGACAGTTGCACATCATCGCCATTCTACGGGCCTTGTAGAAAGACGCGACCGTTGTTTTTCATTTATCAGCACCCCTCAGTTATAGAGGTAATGGAACATTCACTTACTTTTCATCATCATTCTTTAAAAAGGGAACGTACAAAAATCTAAACTTTGGCAATAATTTCTTTTTATAATAGTTTACTTTAATTGAATGCCACACTCCTCTGAGACCCCTAAGTTATGGCGTGATTAACCAAATTTGATTTCCAACAGTCATTTACGACCATAACTATTGCACAGAGTGTAGGATGCCAGCAAAGATGAGGGTGGGGGCAGATACTGGCTCAGTGATTTAACTCACATTATAGATGACCCCTCCTCAACAGAAATGCTACTGAGAGAAACAGAAAGGCCTGGGCCAGGCAGGTCTTATTTGAGAGATTATTTGATAATTGCTTTGGTTAGAAGGACTTTACATTTGCTGATTTCAAGTCCAGCACCAATTTAGAAAGTTCAGAGATGAAACCACCTGTCTTTATCTGACAGAGTCATAACTGTTTGTGTACAAATGTGGCCAGGGACCTTTTTTGTTCTTTCTGATTCGTTAATACTGTGCATTGTAACCAGGAGGGGCAGTTTGGCCAACCAGCCTCTGCTCACGGTCACCATATGTGTATGACAAGGCCTGAGTGAGTTCCTGCATAAACTGGGTAGTGGGCTCTTTTGAGGCATTTTTCAAGCATATACATGAATGAATGACACTACCAGCAACCATCTGTACAAGCCCATTTACTCACATTCATAAGGTTTATGCTATGAAACTTCTTCTCATTGTGATGTCAGTAACAGAGTTAGTGTCTCTGATGGAATAGTGTACCTGTCACCCAAGTTATTTTGTTCCTTTTTGGGTCCTCCAGTATAATCCCCACCTCATCCCAATTCACTGTAAAATGTTTTACACATCACATTTTTTATACTGTAAACTTGGAAAATAAATTGAAATATCAAATCGTATCTTGTTTCTTTTCTTCATGTGATTATTTCAATCTAAAAAGTTGCTTACTTTTTCAGGGACATTTTTCACTCTTGCATAATTTTGAGACCTTCAGAATTTCAAGACATCCTGTCATATTTCTATAAAAACCAAGACAATTATGACGGATTGGGAAAGTAGAATTACCATTGTAACAAAAACTACTGGTTGTCAATCATTTTACAGTGAAGAAAATGTTTTGAATAGATAACTAAAAATGAAATCCTCAGGCTCGAAAACATGGAGATGAAACAGATCTTTTGAGTAAACCAGCAAGTGGAAAGGTGTTCGAGTCAAATAAGGAGAAAAGTAACAGACCTTGGGTTGATGTGGGAGGTGAATATTGGATTAGTTTTCTGATTATTGGCTTGGGAATTCAAGTTAAATTATCAATTGATTTTAGATAGGTCTATTTAAAGGAAATTTGATTATTTGCAAAGAAATATGAAGCTTGTTTTCTGCTAAACTCAACGGTAGAATTTTGACAGCACACAATCAAATTCTTACCTATCGCATGGACAGAAATTAGAGAAATCAATTGACTCAAAGATATTCATTGGATAGATTATTGATAAGCTGTTTTTTTGGGTCATTAAGCAAAATGTGCACAATTTATATCTGCATAAGTAAATGCTGCTAATACACCTTGTGCTATCATTTGGATATTTGTTCCCACTAAATCCCATGTTGAAATTTAATCCCCAGTGTGGCCGTGTTAGGAGGTAGGGTCTAAAGGGAGTGATTTAAGAACTTGGGTCATGGGATAGAGCCTTCATGAACAGATGAATGTCCTCTCTGGAGGAAGTGGGGTGTGAGTGGGTCGCTCGGTTAGTTCCCTGGAGAGCTGGTTGTTAGAAAGAGGTTGGCACCTCCTCTCTCATGCTTCCTCTCTCACCATGTGATCTCTGCACACACTGGTTTTCCTTTACCTTCTGCCATGAATGGAAGCAGCCAGGGCTTTCACATGATGCCCAGTCTTGCAGCCAGCAGAATTGTGAGCCAAGTAAATTTACTTCATAAATAACCCACTCTTCGTTATTCCTTTGTATCCATAAAAACAGACTAAGATACCTTGTAAGCTCTGTTACCCAATAGTGCTGGGGAATTATAGGTATTCTGGTTAACCAATTATTCATCCACCAACTCAATAAATGAGTATCTACTTTGTGATGGGCAAAGTGCTAAGTGCTAGGGATTCTAAGATAAATTCCTTGCCTCTAAAGAGCCTGCAATTTAGTGAAAGGACAAACATGCAAATATATGTTATACCTTAAATGATAAGTGACATGATCCAGGGATTCACAAAGCACAGAGGGGAAGGGGCACCTTCAGGTCACCTAGACAATTGGATAAATGGTATGAAGAGGAGAAGGAGATGCTTAGGGGAGAAGGCAATGAGTTCAGGTTTTATTGTGTTGAGTCTGAAGTGCTTGTACAACATCAAGTCAAGATGTCCAGAGGCAGTTGAATGAATGTGTCTAAAAATAAGGCGAGGAGTCAAGGTTAGAGACTCATATTTGGAGGTAATTAGCACATGGATAGTATTGATGGGCATGATGACATCGTTTTGGAAAAGTGTGTAGAGTTGAGATGCTGTGAAATACCATCATTTAAAGAGCAGGCAGAGGAAGAGGGGCTGGAAAGGAAAATAGAGAAGAAATAAGGAGGTAGGACTGGAGCCAGATGAGAATGAGCAGAGTCAGAAAAATCAAGATAGGATTTTCAACATTGTCTGAATATTTTCAAAATATGAGTTTAATGACAGAATTAGTTAGCTAGTTTTCCACAAAAACTATTGCTCTATTTTCAAAAAATTTGTACAGTGTCTTACACATGTGCTAAAAGATTGAGAAAATAAATTAGAAAATCATACTGCACACTTAACACTAAAACTACCAAGCACAATATAACTTTTATACAGCTCAGAAGGCACTTTGGAATTTTTTTTCAGTGCCTCAGGGCATCAGTATGAACTCCAATTACTGTTGCCCTGGCCAACTGTGAGAGTACTGATAACTGGAGAGTTAATTGACTGCTGGATAAAGCAATCTTTAATCCAAATGGGAAGGCTCACTAGCAGCTACAGAGAAGGGGTATTCAGATCCCAGCTTAGGCTAGGAAGCTAGCTGACCCAGTCAGAGACATGAACCCATCAGAAAAATGTAAGACCTTTCATCTTTCTAGTTTTCCCCCACCCTCACTCCTGCTAATGAATATGTGAGACTTACCAACCAGAGGGAAGTTTAGAGAGCAAATCCACCTCCCATCCCAGTTTCCTAATACACTAGAAATGATGGTGACAACTGTACACATTTCAAGTCCTCTCCACAGCCATCCAAAGGCTTGAATATCCATAATGATATGAATGACCATCACGTGAAATAAGCTTAACAGAGTCATGAGAATATGATTTACAAGTTTGCTTCCAAGGCTAGCCTTCCCTAAGAAGGATCGTCTTGGCTGGAGGAGGGATTCCAACTCATGTTCGAGGTATGGAGGGAACTAAATCATTAATCATGTGTCTTCCCTGGGCTCTGATTATAAGGTCACTCTATGCCTGTGAGTTAGAAAGCTGTCAATTCTGTTACTGTCATAATCAAAGACAACATAAACTGGTGTTAAGGGATTGTTCACCCCAGACTGCCATGTTCAGGCACTGCCATGACCCTTGATGGTCCAGCAAAGAACAAGATCTGTTCCATGACTGTCAAGACAGTCAACATGGGGATAATTTTCCTCCTGTCTCTGCTAAGTGGGATTGCTGCATTTGAAAAGGCATTTGCTGAATGATACTGCTCCTGATGCAAAGGGAGTGGGAAAAGAGATAATGGAAAAGGGAAAGGAGCTGGCTGGGTGTGGGGCAGAATTGCTTGCTGCCACCTTGTGCTGTCTGTATGGTAGTGGGTAGCTGTGATTTTGTTTTCATCAGAATTGTTTGGAGTTGGGCTATTCATCATCATCATCATCACTGTCATCATTATCCTCATCAGAATTATTATCATCATCATCGTCATCATCTTCATCATCATCTTCAGTGTTTATCTTTCCAGAAAGCACATCCTCAATCCAGTCCTCCAGCTCCTCAGCAGTTGGAAGATCATCATCATCTGGAATCTCCATCCAGACACTGTCAGCCTGCAGTGAGGGATTAATGAACGAGTGAGTGGATGCATGAAGGCTGAGCCAGACCAGGGGTAGCTGTGCTGAGTAGCTGTGCTGAGTGCCCCCCGACTCTCTCACACTTATTAGGAATGTGCACATTGTTAAATGGAAATGCCAAACAGCAAAACGATATGTGTAATACACTGTTTGTGTTGCATAAAAGGAAATGTGTATTCCATTACCCAGTGGAATATGTATATGACATTTCTGGTAATATACTCATGCAACAACCACCAGTGGTTCCCTCTAGGAATGAGACTAGGGGTTGGGTCAGGGGAGTAGGAAATACTTTTACCTAACCTTCTATTCTACTGTTCTGTTTTAAAATGTTTCACTTGAGCATATTTTAAAAGTTAGGTATTATTATTAATTTTAAAGTAGCTTACAAAATAAATGAATGTAGAGTTCCCTAGGTGATTGAACACCTACCAACGGGGAGAAAGACAATGCTAACTGGCCCTCATTCTTTTTTTTTTTTTTTTTTTTTGAGACGGAGTTTTGCTCTTGTTGCCCAGGGTGGAGTGCAATGGCGTGATCTCAGCGCACTGCTACCTCTTCCTCCTGCATTCAAGCAATTATCTTGCCTCAGCCTCTCAAGTAGTTGGTATTACAGGTGCCCATGACCATGCCTGGCTAATTTTTGTAATAGAGATGGGGTTTCACCATGTTGGCCAGCTGGTCTCAAACTCCTGACCTCAGGTGACCAACCCAGTTCGGCCTCCCGAAGTTCTGGGATTACAGGCATGAGCCACCACGCCTGACTTGGCCCCCATTCTTAAGAGATTCTACCTCAATTAAGTATGGCTCTAATAATCCTCTGTGATCATCCCTTTCTGTCCATTATTTGCCTGGTTGTATCTGTTCCCACTTCAGCTTTATGATGGTGGAGTTGTATCAGATGTCTGGACTGAGATCTAAGATTTCTTCGCATTCTGCCAGTGCACCTCACTAGCCTGTCCCACCCTCACTTCAACAATGCCTGAACTCTGAGGAGAAGCCCCTTACTCGCATATAATTTTCTTCCTTCCCTTCTGCAGGCCTTGTCTCCTGGCTGGGATTCTGGGCCACAATGGCCCCATCACACATTGTACAATGATGGCTCCTGGTGTGGGTTCCCTTTTGTAAAGGACCTTATTGTTTGTTGTTTGGCTTTGGGGGTAAATACAGGAGAGTTTACTTGAGGGGAAAGTTCCAAATCAGTGATTCAGGAAAGGCTGGTCCCATAGGCAAGAAAACGTGTCCATGGAAGGGAGCCATGTAACCACAGATTGGAACTGGCTTGGAGACCAGGCGTGGAACACACTGGCAAGTTTCCTTGAGCAGGACCCCCGCCCTCTTCTGAAGAGACTGGACTCCTGTAGATGCTCTCACAATCTAGGCTGTGTAGCAGAACACAGGGCAGGCCAAGGGTGCCTGAGCAAGCCTTCATAGGGGATACTCACATCTGTGACATTCACCACCCCAATCTGTGGCCTGAATAGGTCAATCTTGAAAGTCTTCTCCCAATAGGCAACGAGCTGCAGCAACAAAAAAATAAGATTAGACAGCAGGCAGAGGGCATTCTCTGTTAAGGACCCCCCCACCGTCCCATTGCAGTAACTAGGTCACCATTGGTTAAAGGTCTTCAAAACAGCTGTGGGCACTTAGCAAATTGAAGACTTGGCCCCAGCCTTCAAGCACTTCAAATAAGCATTAAATAAAAGATGACATAGCATAAATTACGGAAACATGTGTCTACAGCTGTAAGAGAGAAAATTATAGAGGTGGTCTAATGTTGCTTTCCAAATTACTTGTGGCTGTTTTATAGTTTGTAGAGCCATTTCCCTCCACCTCTTTTTTAATGTCCCATTTTTAAAAATACCTTATCTTGTGCTACATGAGATAGCTGGGAAAGCCATGATGGGTCATAAGTTGCCGAGTAAGGAGAAGGCTTCTTCATTCAACCAGGCCTGGACTCCATGTGGACAAATCTCTGACTGGGGCAAAAATAGAGGAGCAAGGGACCACAGGATTTTTTTTTTTTTTAATGGAGATGCTCAGTGGTAGAAAATCTCCCATGCAAATATATGGCCTAGTGGGGACTAGGGATAATCAGGAATCTGGAAATCAGAATAGTCTGAAGATTTCTTCTTTGCAAAAACCAAGGCAAACACATAGAACTGGCCAGAAGAGAGGCTGGGCGCAGTGGCTCACGCCTGTAGTCCCAGCACTTTGGGACTGGAGTCCGGGAGTTTGAAACCAACCTGAGCAACATAGTGAGACCTTGTCTCTACAAGAAATTTTAAAAATTCGCTGGGCATGGTGGCACACACCTCTAGCCCCAACTGCTCAGGAGGTTGAGGCAGGAGGATTGCTTGAGCCTGGGAACTTAAGGCTGCAGGAAGTTGAGATTATGCCACTGCACTCCAGCTTGACAGAGTGAGATCCTGTCTCAAAAAAAAAAACAAAACAAAACAAACAAAAAAAAAAAGAACGTGCCAGGAAAACTGCAAACCATCTGCAAGCTTGTATAACAAAATAGTCAGATAAACTAGAAACACAACCAGGCAAAAGCTATATCACCAAAGCTGTACTGTATGCAGTCTTATATGGCCATGACTTTGTTATAATTACCCAGTGCTATGACAATGGTCTCAAGTGTCACGGAAGCCTCTGCCTTTGATTCGCCCCCCTCCTCTACATAGGGCTGATTTTCAGGACCCTTGAGATGCCTCTCAATTTTCTCTATTTAATCACAGTATCATCAGTCATGACCTATGCAAATAATGATAATTCCTGGAAGATAAAGTCATCATTCATAACCTAATGATAACTAAACTTGTACTGATTACCGCGATAAGCTTTTACCTAAAGCAGTAGGTAGACCAAGCTTTAGCATCATGTAGACCTAGATTGGAATATCACATCTATCACTCACTAGCTTTAACCTTCCCAGCTATCATTCTCTCCACCTTGTGACAGGGATTATAATAGTACCTACTTCACAGCATTGTTGAGAGGATTGCTGTGATGAAGCATGTAAAGCATTACTATAGTTCCATGCATACAGTAGAGTATATCAGCTATGCTTATTGTCAGTACCAGTACTTATTATCAGTACCAGAACCAGTACCAGGGTTCAATTCATGTAGTGTACAAATTCTGTTTATTCTTTTTAAAAACATGTAAGTATAATCAAAGCTTTCGGGCCACTGATCATGGACACTAGCAAAAGTGTGGACTTTAAGGTTCTTTCACATTCATCGTAGGCTAGACACTATGCTAGGTCCTGGGGAGAACATGATGAACATGACAGGCATAGGCTCTCTTTCTCTCCACAAAGTTCTGAACTCGCTGAAAAATGTTCATCTCTGATTTTAATTACTTGGTAATTCAGGTGGCCTCAGAACGATGGTCCCCACCCAGAAGGTCAAAGTAGTCCTGGGGACAGGGAGTGCAATGATGAGGGGTAGCTCTGGAGCTGCCGCCAAAGGAGTTTACCCTGCCCACTTGGGTGGGTCCCCAAGGGTCAAGGGTTTTCAACTCCTGGTTTCAACTCCAGGGAGTAAGCCTCATCCTTTCAGGGTCAGCACCAGGCCCCAAGTTCAATACTGCCCCAAGGGCCAAGACCTCCCACATTGGATGGGGGCTGTCACTGGGTTTCTTCAAGTGCCCCCACCTATTTCACCTCCTTGGATGCTAAACGCAATCATGAGGCTGTGACAGCAACTGAGGGTGGGGCGCTGGCCGGAGCTACTCACCAGAGGAAAGTCGTCGGGGTCGATCCACAGGATGCTGAGGTCGGGGTTGTCGGTATTGTCCCGGGCAACCTGTTTCAGGATCTCCAGGAATTCGTAGCCATCTGAAGCAGGATTCAAGAGAGTTGAGTAACCCCTGCACACACACAGCTTCTAACGTGGAGAGCAGAGTGCGGTTTTTCCACGAGGACTTCTTAGGCCATTTGGTGCTTACCCTCAATTATAGGATTATTCTATAGAATGAGTCAGATGAGAGCTCCAGGCACAAAGCAGCTTATACAAAGGAAACAATAAAAAATTTGAACAAAGGATTAAAGGTTCACAGAGAACTGGCTGGTTTTTCACTGGAAGCCAAACTTCATTTGTGAAAACTGCCCAGCCTTGGGTCAGAAAGTCAGTCCCAGAACAGAGAAACTGCTGCCTGTCCTCACTGATCCCATGCCATCTCTTGAAACAGATACTTTGCTGTCCCTTAGAGTCCCAATAACATCTGCTGTATAGACCAAGAATGTTTAAGCCTGGACCCTTAGTTTTCTACAACCAGGAATTGCTAAAACCTTCAAACCAAACGAGCATCTGATTTACAGTTGGTTTCACAGCTCTGAGATAGTAAACGCGGCTTCCCTCCCTCCCTCCCTCCCTCCGTATTTCCTTGTATACTGGGCCCTCCCTCTGTTCAGCCAGCAGCAGTCATTGCCCTAGGGGCGGGATGATTCATAAGAAAAGCAGAGAGGAGCTTTATAAGTTTCAAGAACACAAACTTCTTAGCTTTAAAAGCCTAAACCTTGAAGGACTGTGAGCATACGACTTTTGCCATAAACAAAAATTATAGGAGAATATTCAGTAAGAGATAGCATACTCTCAACCCTCAGCACCACTCCCCAGCCCCCAGCTAGAAACTGAAAAAATGGTTTAGATTCTGGAAGATCCCTGAGAATACTAAACTGCGCCTGTGTGTGTGTGCGTGCGTGTGTGTGTGTGCGTGTGCATGTGTGCACGTGCGTGTGTGTGTGCATGTGCAGAAACACAAGCCATGTGTGCATGTACAGAATCTCCATTGTTTCCGGGAATCCCAGGGTATAGAAGACCCATGATTTGTTTCAGAATTAAACTTAGGCAAATGAAAAGATCCCAGAATCCCCTAAAGAACCCCCTAGTATAGGAGCACTAGGGCAGAAGAGCCTGTCGAAAGGCCCCATGGAGTTTTCTTGTCATTCTGAGGAACTTGGACAAATGACGATGACCCCTACCAGATGTGCACCCCACTCAGCTATGCCTGGGAACCAGAGAGACCCTGGATCCCTCGGGATGGTGGAATTGGGGTGGAGAACCTTTAATGATCAGCCCCAGCTTCCACCACTCAGTGGTATACACTCAAAATTGAAATTTAGGTTCAGTTCTAAATAATAAAGTTACAGTTCTTGCATAGCTGAATTCGTGGCTTGAAATTTAGACCGTGAATATAAGTAACTCACCAGCTACTTGGGAATTCAATTAACTGTGTTTTCTTTGCAAAGTTTTTTTCTTTTGCCTGGAATCTCGGCAAACTTGAGCTCCTCCCTATGGCCTCTGTTTAGCAAGCCTCTCCTCTCTCCAGGAATGCTAGCTTTTGTTTGGCTCTTTTGGACTCTTGGTAAAAGTTTTTTCTACACTTCCTTATCTCTAATGCATTCCAGGCAAAACGCATACTATTCTTAGCAACTCTACTTTGAGTTTTTGAGTTGGTGTAGTCACTGTTGCTAGCTCACACTGAAGATTCAGGCTGAGCCCCCTTAGGCCTTACTACGTGGGAAGCACAGCGACCTCTAGTGGAGAAGTTCCTTTTTGGCGGGGGCGGGGCGGGGGGCTCTGTTGCCCAGGCTGGAGTGTGTGATGGGAACATAGCTCACTGCAGCCTCGACCTCCCAGGCTCAAATGATCCTCCTGTGTCAGCCTCACAAGTAGCTAAAACTACAGATGCATGCCATTATGCCCAGCTAGTTTTTAAAATTTTATTGTTTTATTTTGTAGAGACAGGGATCTCACATTGTTGCCCAGGTTGGTTTTAAACTCCTGGGCTCAAGTGATCCTGCCTCAGCTTTCCAAAGTGCAGGATTACAGACTTGAGTCACTATGTCAGGCCTAGAAGTGGTCTTTATGGCTGGTGTCCACTTCTTGCAGAGATACAGAGTGGACTTGGGTAATCTTTTAATCTGTGCTCATAACCATATTGCAAATGAGATTATGACAGACACCGGAGACTGACAGGGCCCTAAGCATTAGAGTTCATTTATCTGTAATTGCGGGGCTGGGGGCAAGGTGGGGTAGGGGCATTACTCCTGCTGCCTGTAGGTGGAACTGAGAAGGTCCGGCCCCTCCAGTGTATCACTGGCTGCCAAGTGTGGACACTATGGGTTCTCCTTTGGCCATATGTCTGTCACAGGAGAGGGAAATATGGTGCCGCCTTGGTTATCTGTAGAGATAGGAATCATAATACAAAGACCACAAGGAGGAATTCCTCCAAAACAACTTCAGTTACTATTTTTAGCTGCAGAAAATAAAGAAATGATAATCAATGAGGTGACCCTGCTAGTACTTTGGAAGATGAGAGAGAGTCAAGCATAAAAGGGACATGACAAATCTGAAATTCACAAAGAGGATGAAATGCAACAACACAGACTCAAATGAAAGTAGAAAGCAAACTTGTGGTGCAAGAGACTGATTCACATAAAGAAAAGGAGAGTCTAGGTAGGCACGAGTGTTGTGGAGGGACAGGATCTGTGACCCAGAACTACAAGCTGAATACACAACAGATCGCTGTTGTTTTCTTATGGGAAAAACTCTCTTAACATTGGGATGCATCAAAAGGAATGTGGTATCCAAGAACATACCTACTACATTCCTATTTGACATTCTAGAGCAGGTTAAGAGACGAAAAGAAAAACTGAACTGTGCAAGAAAAATCAAATGGATGGTAGTATTTATGTAAATGAGCAAAGTCAAAAGTGTGGCCTGAAGCCCATTTTCAAGAAAATAAAAAGAGTTTTGTAATATTCTTTGTGTCTATGGAGAAGCAAAGAAATCTCAAAAACCATTCCCAGAATAAATTAATAAATAAGGTTGACATTAAAGCTGAAAAAGTTTCCTCTAGATCCAAGGGCAGGTTTCAGATGTTCAGGGTGATGAACTCTGTAATGGACAATGTCTGTGTCCCCGAATACTTTTAATGACAGAACAGAGCCCATTCTTCAGGGAGTCAACCCAGCATAGCCCTTAAACACACAGACTCTGGGGCCAAATGACCTTGGCCAAGGTCCTGGATGTACCCTTAGAGTGTGACTTAGAGCAAGTTATTTAATGTTTGTCTCCTCATCTGTAAAACAGGGATGATGACAATGATAGCATCTACTTCACTGGGTAGTTGTGAGTTAAATGAATCAGTTTTCCTGCAGCACTTGGCCAGTGCCTGGCATAGAGTAAGGTTTAGCCATTATTTTACTTAAATTACCTGACATTCTATATTCAAAGGCAAGGAAGCTAGCTGGAACTCCCTAAGCCTGGCCGTTCCTCTGTTCATTTACCACATCGGTATTAAGTTCAGTGATCTGGGCACCGGGAGTGGGGTGGAGGCAGTCTTGGACCCACGTGGTAGAGAACATGCCCACAGAAAACTACATCACAAGACAGTACAGCGTGGGGCAGTTCCTTCCGGCTCCTGTTGCTGATTCTGTGACCAAAGGCTTCAGGGATGGCTGTGCCAGCTGGTGTGACCACGAGAACCCTGCCTTGATAACTGGGTCAGGAAAAGGTTTAATTCCTTTGCTTTTAAGGCATTAGCTTGTATGGATATTCCTGATCAAAGGCTTACGAGCCTCCAGGGCTCTCCCCTCTTCAGACCCCAGCCTTGAGTGCAGACCTGTTAAAATGGATTCTCATTAATCTGTGAAAGTGAGTTAAGGCAGCTAACCTGGTCTCACATGTATTCAGTTGCTAAAATTGTAAGTTACAAGTTCAATTTTTTCCAAAGAGAGCCTCTGTTTCTTTGTAAAACTGGCAGGTCCCCTGGAAAAGAGAAACATTCTCTGTGGATCCTCCCTTTTTGACCAGGAAGGCAGGTGTAGGAAGCCGCGTTTCACTTTAGTAATTCAATGTTAAGCAAGAACTAGTCCACTGTTAAAATTACATGGATGAATGACTGAGTTTAAAATGAGTAAATGTTTCCTTTATCAGTGGTAGACATGGCTTGGAGGCCTTTCAAGACTGTGGTCATGCATGTTTCAGAAGGAATATAGCCCATACTTCAAAAAAGTATATAGAGATAAAGGGGGAAATACTATTCAGAGATGTGTAGGCTAATAGTTATCTAGACATAGCAAGTAGAGGACTAGTCTCTGCAGTCATCAGAAAAGCATCAGTTCTCAAAATGAGAAGAGACCCCGGCAACCCAGACATTCCAAACATCCAGGTAGGTGAATAGCCCCCACTCAAAACATTTGTATCTTTTGAATATTTCCGGGACTGAGACCCTTCGACATTGCTAAAGGCTGACTACAGAGTTGATCATTGTAACAGCCAAGAATCTTATCCTTGCATCCAATTGAAATCTCCTTTTATACACATGACGTTTACTCCCCACTCTTCCTTTATGGACACTAGACATTGTTCTTTTTTGTTGTGTTTTGAGATGGAGTCTCGCTCTGTTCCCCAGGCTGAAATGCAGTGGTGCAATCACGGCTCACTGCAGTCTTGACTTCCCAGGCTCAAGTGATTCTCCCATCTCAGCCTCCTAAGTAGCTGGGACCAGAGGCACACGTCACCACACAGTTAATTTTTTAATTATTATTTGTAAAGATGAAGTCTCTCTGTGTTGTCCAGGCTGGTCTTGAACTCCTGGGCTCAAGCGATACTCCCACCTCAGCCTCCCAGAGTGCTGGGATTATAGGCGAAAGCCACCACGCCCAACCAGGACACAGGACATTGTTCTCCACATGCAGAAAGTCTATAATCACGCTGCTCCAGCCTTTATTTTCTGAGTGTCTATTGAACACTTACTGGGTACTGAGTACTTTCGCATTTGATTTTTACAACTCGTCTTGATGGAGGTTAGGAAGATTTTATCATCTCC